ATGACCGACGGGATTTACAGCGGCAGAATCTCGAACCCCACACCATTGAAGAATACAGGACCATCGGAAGGCAATTCCGCTAAGCAGAAATTGCCTGAACGAGAAAATATAACTGATGGCTGAACCACAATATCCTAAACGGGTTGATAACCGTAGGTTAACATTGAGGAGAGTCCGACTCCGTGGAGGGCTTGTGTTCCGCCATGAGAAAGAGGGAATTCCGCCAGCAGAAGTATGACACAGGTACCCTGTGTCAAATTACCACCACAAGGGTCCGCTGGCAACCAAAGAGTCGGTTCCGCCGGCTCTGCCAAACTGTTTCATGCACAACGGAGTCAGCGGAGGCTCAACATTACTCCTGGGAAGGCAGTGCACTGGGCTCTGCTGGGGTATAAATACGGCGTAGTACTTGTAGTAACGGTATCTAGTTCTCCCCTTGCAATCTAGGCATTTAAAACTGCTCTAGAACAGAAGGGAACAGTCAACGAAAAGAACCTAAGGTCACCGAGACCAAAGGGGACACCTTTCCTTCCCTTCCGCCTCACTCCGCTGCCGTTTCCTCACAGCGGAGACACTTATACCCCACCCATATTCGATATTCGCCTCCTCTGTCGCTGCATAAGCCCAAGCAGAGCAGAACTCCCACTACGAATGATGCCGTGGACAACTCCATCATATTTGTGTGTAGCTGTTAAAACCCCATTGGGACATCTGGTCCTACAGTAGAGCAGGAGAATGATGGCACACCATCTGAGAAGCTTTCAAAGGAGCAGACTCTTTGATGGAAAAAGGGATTCTCCGCAGAGGCAGAAGAAAGGAATGAAGCAGAGAGGGATTGTGCGGAATAGCGACAATTGCAACGGACCCGCCCTATATTTGTGTTTGGTAACACTCCAAAGTTGGGAATTACGACGGTGGAGACTTAAAAACAGGACCAATATACCCCAGACTAGCACTAGCGCTTCCCTCCGCATCACATCGGGGCCGACCTCTCTCATTCTCAAGTGTAGAACGGAAAAGCAGCGTTGACTGGAAGGCTTTTCTCTCCCACAGGGAAGGAATCAGCGACCTTAAGATTCCTCCGTTGTGAAATGGAGTAGTTTGTACACCACCACATTTATAAAACACGAATTCCGCGGCCATCGAGAGACTTCACACAAATTTCCCCCTAGAGGATGAACTGCTGACTCTGCCAAGCAACAAACCGACTTGCCAGCAGTAGCACCACAGTCCAAATCACAGCAACTCACCTCCCACTACAGTTAGCTTCATGATAAATCCTCTAAAATCATTCTACATGTAGACACATTTATTATTACACCAACCATCCCCTCAGTCATATTTAATTGATGTGGTGTCGGTTAAAATTTTGTACATGTAGAATCGGTCAAAATAATATTTGGGACACTTTCCTGGCCGAAAATGGGTGTGTACCAGTCCCTACGGGGTGCACCTGGATGTGATGAAGGCTCTACAAGCATGAACAAACAATTGTATCACACCTCATTTGGACCTTTCTCACCCTCCTCAGTGTGCTTCAGCCTCTGATTCTGCATGGGAGACAATTTGAGTGTATTGTGCATGTATTCCGGGTAGTTAATGGGCAGGGGGTGCCAGGATGCGACCGGAGAGTCTGAAGAAAGCAGATTTGTCACCAAATCGGTGGTGATGTGCTTATATAAGCAAACAATTTCGGAACCACACTTGCCGGTGGCCATATCTATACAGGAATTATACATCACATGATAAAATAAATAAATACTACAATCAGGCCACTTTGGTATATACAGATAAACGGACCTGGCTATTTAAAGGTACATGCATCAAAAGACCCAGTTAAACGGTTAAATAAGTGCTCTATCCCGAGAGCCGTGCGTCTATCTTTCTGTTTTAAGGTGTTGCCATCATATCTTGATGGACTTGTTATCTTTAGACATGCCAAGTATAGCATGTCCGGATAAATTGTGGTAGGGCCAACCAGCTTAGCCTTATAGATAAACTGGCTGTCCTGCATCTCTGCCTGATGACGCCTTTGTCACCCAACTATTCCCACGGTGCCCCAATTCTTGATTTACATGTAAATACAATCTTTGATGATTTACGTGTAAATACACAGCAGGCTGTTGATCCTGATAGTGTCACTGAATGTCCCTGAACAATTCCTGAGCTCTCCAAGGCATCCAGGCTCGTGTGATTAATGTTACAGTGACTTGACAAATGTCGAACTTGTGCTTGCAGCTGCACTAACAACTCTGCCGATTTGATTTGACCTGCAATCTGGATCCCTTATGAATTCACAGTCTAGATGGATGGTATGTGTTATGCCCTTGATATATGACACTTTCCTAATGTCCCAATTCGATTGAATGGTTGAACATGGAATTACATGAAATTCCATTGTATCCCACCTGGCTGTTGACCCCCGTGGTATTGGTGACCAGGCAAGTCTATACAATGTAATCTCTTGTGAAGTGCCCTTAGCCAACAGTCCAGACCTCACTATGGCTCTCATTGTGGGCAGAGTAATAAATAAGCATTGTTCTACTTCAGTAAGTAGAACAAGAACATTGAAATTGATAGATTTCAAGTCTGGTCATTTTCCGTGCTTATCACCGGTGTGGGTGGTGGCTATGTAAAACATAAGTACAGAGGGCATGCAAAATGCGAGACAAACACATTAAGGTAATCTGCTCTGCCATCACCTAAGCACCAATAATTGACCGTGATTCGTGAGAGGATGATGACAAGGCAGTGTGCATGTCACGCTCAAGAACTCTGAAGACGCCCTAGGGGAGCACAATGCTGCTTGGGACCTCTCTCGGTAGGAGGAGTATCTCGAAGGATGATGGAATAAAAGACTAAAGAATACAAGCAACTGGCTACTCTATTTATACTGTTTGTCTGTGGCTATGCTTGTAGCTAATAATATATACAATAGATCGTCCAAGAACAATAAGTCTGTGTCCCATGGCCCTGCCAAGAACAATAAGCTTGTGTCCCATGCCAGGGCCATGTGTTCTGAACAATAAACATCCTTATTGTGCATGTCTGACAGCTGTCAACTGTCTGATCCTTAGGGCTTCATTGGCATGTTCTGTGAAAACCCGATCCCTGGCAGTCCGATCATGAGGCACTTGATTAGGTGCTTAGATAATGGCATTGGAGTGATTAGATAATGATTGAATCGTGACAGTGCGTACCATTAATGTTGTTAAGAATCACATTATCCCTCATGGCCTAATCTGCTGGTCCAATTGCAACTACGCCCTGCAGCAGCCACACAACGTTAGCCGCCTGCAACACATTTGAGCAAGTAGACAACAAAATGAAAAGACACGCACACCCGTTCCCCTATCCACAGAACCAAGATTGAGCTAGGCTTATGATCCACTTAACAATAGTTTCAATGTCAAGTAAAAATGGGCAAACCTGTCATAGCCCCGTCTTCATCAAGCCGGAGACATTCTGTGTGGCCATCGCTGTTCAGATCCACAAACCGTACACCTAAAGAGGAAAACAATTCGGTGAATACTTGCTCATGGTTGCATGTTGAATCCAAATACCTGTTCCATCCTCACCTATCCCACTTGCAATTGATCCCACAGGAAACCAGCCGACTTTGGCAGCCTGGAAGATATCAATACAACATTCTCACCGAATGAATGCAGGAGCATACATCAGGGCCATCATCAGGGTTACCAAGGTTCAACCACGCATTGACAGAGCCATCATTGTGAACAAAGAGATATTCAGCCCTTCCATTGCCATTCAAATCTATGAGCGGTCAACCAGGGTGGGTCGGATATACATGAAAAGGGTAGTGTCGCATACCTGCAAATTGAATGTGACACGGAGTCGCCCCAACTCTGGTCATGATAACCCCAGAAGGAAGTCATTGAACCTGGTCAGCGTCAATTCCTGCATGCTTATATGAGCTACATGTACAGAGAAAACCAGGAAAAGAATGTGTGACCTGATTCCGTAAAACCGAGATCCAAGAAGGCTATTGTAGCTCCGTCAATATCAAGGTAAAGGTACTTGGTGCGACCATCAACATTCAGGTCTTATGCAGGTGAGAGTATGTCTTCATTGAGTAGTGGGACGTTGAGCAGTGAGAGAAGGGCATATGAATTGAAGGAATCTTAGATATGTTAGCTCTTGCCTTGATATCAGACTCCCAAGGACCTTCTGGTGAACTGTGTGCCCTTCCAAAACCATCACAAACATATCTATGAATGGTCAAAGAACAGCTGAAATTCCTGCAGGGGTTTCCACGGGGAGGCAGGTTGTTGGTCACACAAGCGTAAACCAGCGGAATCACCAGGGGTTTCACTCAATGGATACAAGGTACACAGATGCTGCCTGAGATCCACTGTGTAGCTGATGGTCTCTTGGAGTGGCTGGCCACCAGAACAAGCACTCTGCTAAAAGGAGTAAAGAAGACTTGAATCCTGATTTAGGTGTCTAATTTTCAGTTGGACAGTGGGAATATGCCTTGACAAGAACATCAATCCAGTTAGAGAGCCTGCACTGAAGCATTGAGCAGAGAAGTATTCTGGAATTCTAAATTTCTTCTTTATTCTCTCATAGTTGCCCATTTTGTTGGCAGAAGTGTCTGTTTCTGTACAGCCTGTGTACTTATTTTAAAAAGGCCTCAGAGAATCTTGAGATACATCCATGCCATCAGTTTTCCTCTGCAGAAGATAGCCCTCAATGTCTATGGATTGTTCGCAAATTTCACTGACACTTGAGCTGAAGTCAGAATTTGAAATTAGCTGTGCATTGCCAACCACCAATAGTAAGATCTAGTAAGACTGTCAGGGTATTATGCTATTCAAACTACTGAGGAGGCCTTGAAAACTAAACTCAGACTGTGATCTGACAATAAAGGGGAAAAGATTCTGATTGAACTGACCTCCAGATGGTTGATTTTATTGGAGAGAGAGTAAGGATCACTGTCCAGGTGGAGTTTGGATTGAATTGCCCAAAAGGCAAAAAATGGGCCTAACTGGGAATTGAACCCAGGACCTCCTCGATCGGTTTCACGGGATGCTCAACCACCCCATAAACACCCTAACAAGGAATCATACTACTAGACCATCAGGCCAATGAAAATGCCTTGAAGCTATTCCATATAATGCAGAGGGGTGTTACCAAGATAAATTATACACCCTGGGTCATGGACAGTGCAATTAAACAGGGCAGTGATATGGCTTGTAACTGTGCACTGATCCTCACACATGACCTCCAACCAAACAAGGGACAAAGAGTTCTATTCTGGTGGTTCTGTTTGGCTAGAACCTTCACATATGACCTCCAGCCAGACAAGGAACAACAGTTCCATAGTTTTTGAGATTTCGCCTGGTCACGTGTTCCCAATAAGGAAATTTGCATGTGTCCTATTTGCTTGACGACCGTAAACGGAACCGGTGTGACTGTCATCACTCACCATTGTCTCAGGGCCCACGAGAATCAGTTTTGGGGTTTGATACCAAATTCCGCCCACCCCAACCTCTTGTCCGGACTCTCCTGTGTCAAGACCATTGATGTCTTGTCTGGATTCTGTGGTCAAATCCTGTCCGGATTTGGGCTCAAACCTCAAAAAATTGCAAAAAAATTGCAAAAAAATTATATCGTACATTGTCACCCTCCTCGAGCTCCATTACATTCACATGCCACTGCTTTGCACTTTGAAGAGCTGCGCATAAATATAGTAATTCCACTCCGACCAAGAACCAAAGCGAAGACAATGGGTTCGGACCACACCTATGCCATGCGAGCATTGTCCGGACTCTGTATGCAACCTTCACAAATTTCGGCCACTTTGTCCAGACTAGCGCATCAAAGTCGGTGGCCACGAGGGTCAAATTTGTCCGGATTCTGCTCAAAGGTGGGTCAAAATTTTGAAAATTTTGTCTGGATTGTTGTATCAAACTGCAAAACCGATTCCCGTGGGCCCTATTGTCTCTTGCTCTCTACTATGATGGTCCCTGATGCTCTGCTCCGCCCTCCCCCTGCTCCCGACTTCATTCTACCCCACCTCAACACCCTCAGCCATTGCGACATGTATGCCATCTCTTCCGTAACGCTGCAGCCATGTCAAGTTCACGCCAATCACCATGCACGCCGTACACGACGCGTTGATAAGCACGCAAATTGCCAACACATGAAATTTATCAATTTTAGGGTTCTTGTTATACTTACCAAAGTATAACAAGTGTTTATCAAATATCTTGCCCATTAAGAGCCATAGTGAGGTCCGGGCTGTTGGCTAAAGACACATCGAAGTAAGGAACATCGTAGAGATCTATTACAGCTATTTGCGGAACATAAGGCACGGATCAAATTTTTATCAAAAACACTGATTATCACTAATGCCCCTTCAGCCCGCTCAATTCTTGCACGATTGTCTCAAAACCTGGACCAAACGATGTGGAATAACCTTCTGCAGTGCTTAGGCTATGTGTAATATTTATTTTACCCCACCGACACGTCCAAATGGGGTAACAGACGATTTTCAACCGTTGCCCCTGTATCGTGAGCAGTATCCTTCAGTTTCTGGAAACTCTGCTTTGGGACAACTTATGGATGTATAACACATTGCTTAGGATGGTGAAAACTCCGCAGATCTGTTTCACTATGGTGATTCATGAGGATTTCAAAAGTATGTGAAATTTGAATGATATTTCATACCCTATACCTCAAGTTATAACAGTAAAATGCACCCTAAGCAATGTAATATGCTATTGAGAAGCCATTCAAATATTCTCAAGAGATCCTCGCCATTATGTTCACAGATAGAGGGGCAACGGTTGAAAATCGTCTGTTACCCCATTTGGACATGTCAGTCGGGTAAAGTAAATATTACACGTAGCCTAAGCACTGCGGAAAGTTATTCCACATCGTTTGGTCTAGGTTTGAAGACAATCGGGCCAGAATTGAGCGAGTTGAAGGGGCATTAGTGAAAATCAGTGTTTTTGATAAAAATTTGATCCGCGCCTTATGTTCCGCAAATAGCTGTAAATCACCGATACCACGGGGGTCAACAGCTTAGTAGGCTACGGTGGACTTTCTCGAAAGTACAAGTCTAACCATTCGATCGAATTGGGACACGTACTGCGCGTCATAAACAAGGACATAATGCACATTATCCATTCAGACCATAAACACGTCAGGGAAACGTTGGGGATCGTGTTTGCAGGGAACATGTCAAGTAAGGCATTCGGGCTGAATATCCGGAGATAGCCGACATAGATTAGATACCGGAATTCTCTGTATCAACGTTTTGACCGCGGGACATGTTGGGTGACAAAGGTGTCATCAGGCAGAGATACAGGACAACTAGTCTATTAATGGCCATTGGTCTAAGCTGGTTGGTCCGGGCAATCTTTACCACAATTTATCCGGAAATGCCATGCTTGGCATGTCTAAAGATATCAAGTCCATCAAGATATGATGGCAACACCCAAAGCAGAAAGATAGATGTCTGGCTCTCGGGATAGAGCTCGTATTTAACCATTTATCCATGTCTCATGATACCTGGATCTTTACAGCTAATTGCAGTACTGAAGGCACGAACGAGAAAATTACCGTTTTGGGCCAATTTCGATTTTCATGTCCGATTTGCTCATATCTAAGTCAGTTCTGCAGGGATCAAGATGAAACATAGCTAGATAATTCGGGGTAATTCATCCGCAATTAGTGATAGAAAAATATCTGCGGAAATATTGCATTCTGCTTCTTCTGGCATGTGAGGCTCCTTGAGCCATAGATTTGCCCATTTCTCTGTCAGTTCTGCATAGATTCAGATGAAACATAGCTAGATCTCCCAGAACAATCCATGCACAATTAGTGATAGAAAAATATCTACAGAAATATTGTATTCTGCTTCTTCTGGTATGTGAGACTCCTTGAGCCATAAATTCGGGCTAGTGAGCCCAGATCTCCTCCAAAGGAGACTAATTTTTGTGAGGTAATACTCAGACATGTATAAGGTCATGCCATGGAGCCATATTCATGAATATTTCCTTTCCCGCGCTTCCTGCCATGCCCAAGGGCCGGTTTTTGTGCAGCCAACATAGAATTGACCCAAACTGTCTGATTTTCAAGTCTTATGAAGCAGTAGAAACACCTTATATGGTCGTAGTGTACCCCTCTACAGCATAACCCAATAATCCGTGCCAAAAATGCCGTTGTGGATGCTAGTTGGACGCAATACGTCCATTCTCGGCCACCATCAAGGTGTTTTGTATGAGCTACCGATCCGGACAAAAGTCTCAAAACATATGTATTGGGCAGTGATCATTAATGCTCACCGATTGGCACTGGTGAGCACCGGTGGTAATTGGTGATAACTAGTAATCATTAAAGATTCACAATACCTTGCCACTAGCTCACATTTTTGTCAACCTCATCCATTTTTTCATCCCATCATTGGCAGTCATTTCCTCCTAATTTGCGTATTTTCCAACAAAAATTGCCACATATGGACCCATACCGGAAACGTAGATGCCAGCATAACTCATGTCCTGGCGGCCCACCGGGCCCCGGCATGTCCGGCACAACATTATACTATATATTTCATTTCTATCTATCATGAGTCATTAAAACCCCTTGTTATCTGGCAACAAGGCTTCATTCAAAAGTAGACCACTCCAAGTGTTTAATACATGCTTTTATTGAGTGGTCCAAATTTGATCTTTTCAGTGAGGAGACAATCACATTGTATCAATGCAAAGTGCATATTACAGAGCTCACAAAGACACTGTGGATCAAGGCCCCGGTTTTGTTTGAAGATCCGGTCAAATCAGGTGGAAACATTTGAACATTCAAAAACTGTTTATAAATGGTATCTTCTACTCCCCTATTTATTGGCATGTTATTCCAGCAGTGTAGGGCCGAGGAAAAGCACCATGCATGTAATGTGTGAGTTCTGGGGTTTGAAGTGGACATGGCAGATTCCGAGCCCTCAAAAGTCGTGCATTGACATCACATTTTTAAAGTTAAGGACTTGATTAGGAAATTGGGGATTGGGACCAAAAAACTTGATGCCTGGTGGGTGCTGCAATTTAAAAAGGAGGGCCAAAATGCAGTGACACTGATGATGATGGTCACCGGTTATCTCCGGTGCCAACCAATGTGCACCAATGTGCACTGGTGCCACTTCACCCAGTAGCACTTGTGATCATCAATGCGCACCAGTGATAATAACTGCTCACCACTGCTCACCGGTGCCAATCAATTGTCTGTGATGCTGGCCGAAAAAAAAAAATTTACAATGACTTTTGTCCGGATCGGCCCGTCATAGTTTTGATCCCATCAGTCGCATCTTCTGTGTCCCAATTCGCGGTCACAAGCAGCGTCTTTCCCAGATAACATCCTGCAAAACTATATGCAGCTGTGTTATGAGCTTTTGAGCTGTTTGTCATGCTTCATTTGAGTAAGAATCGTTCAGTGACAGCTATTTGATCTGTATGCTGGCTATACAAATGGCCTTCAAACGAGGTAGGGAAGGCAGGGAGGTAACATATTTATTTTTTCGTCTCTATCACTTCACTTGTTACATACATGAGTATACACTCACAAAAATCAGTCTCCTTTGGAGGAGATCTGGGCTCACTAGCCCGAATTTATGGCTCAAGGAGTCTCACATACCAGAAGAAGCAGAATACAATATTTCCGTAGATATTTTTCTATCACTAATTGCGCGTGGATTGTTCTGAGAGATCTAGCTATGTTTCATCTGAATCTATGCAGAACTGACAGAGAAATGGGCAAATCTATGGCTCAAGGAGCCTCACATGCCAGAAGAAGCAGAATGCAATATTTCCGCAGATATTTTTCTATCACTAATTGCGGATGAATTACCCCGAATTATCTAGCTATGTTTCACCTTGATCCCTGCAGAACTGACCGAGATATGAGCAAATCGGACACGAAAATCGAAATTGGCCCAAAACGGTAATTTCCTCGTTCGCGCCTTCGGTACTGCAATTAGCTGTAAATAACTAGGTCTGTTTATCCGTATATACCAGAATGAGCTGATTGTATTCTTTCTTTCTTTTATCATGTGATGTATAATTCTTGTATAAATACAGGCAGGTTTCG